AAGTTTTACATTTTACATATACACTTGCCTTTACCATTAAGTATGTACTTGGTCACAAAGTAATTTCCATTTTACATATACACTTCCATAAATTAAAAGGAATGAAGTTATTATAGTTAATATATGCAAATCGTTATCAAATCGTATATTTTCCTTTTCTTCCATTACATGCGTGCGATATATATAAATATATAAACTAATGTTACATGCGTTATATGCGTCTCTAATTATTTTTCCCTTGCAAATTTCAATTGAACCTAAAGCTGCCACGTCAGTTTAATTGGTATGCTAATTGATTGACAACTAAGCAAGGTTACTTTTTAATTAATACAAACTTGAGGTTACATCTTTTCAAATGTTTCTCAATTAATATATAGGGGATTAATATCGTGCTTTCTTTTTCTGGGTCTGGTGGGCTTTTTATGTCCGCTTCCCGATGCTTTCCTCTCTCTACTTTTTTTTTTTATTAACAGAACTTTCTTTTTATAAATATTAAAAATTCATAGTGTTTTATTTTGCTATCTCTCCCTCTCTCTCTCTTCTGTCTCTGCTACCTCTCTCTTTCTCTTCTTTATTTTTTGTTCTCTTTTTACATTCTTCGTATCGTTTCGTAGAATCTCTTCTCTCTCAGATTTAGAAACCTGTGAAATCTCTTCAACAATCCCTATACTCTCTCCGGTCATTTCCGGTTTACTAAAATCCCCCGTAGAATGTATCCGTTAACCGTAATCTGAGAAACAGTTAAACCCTAGATTCAAATTCAGATCTCCGAAGACTGAGAGTAACATCACGAGAGCGGTTATGAGTAGATGATGCAAGAATCGCTTCACAGCGAAGAAGCTAGCATCATTGAGAAGAGAAGAGACGAGTCACTACTCTCACCAAAACCTCCCACCACAATGACACGCTCCCGCTCCCACCAAACAACGACCCGGCGCGTGACCCCCACGCCCCCACTCGAAATCGAGAAGCCCCTCCCCAACGGAGATCTCTACATCGGCACGTTCTCCGCCGGCTTCCCCCACGGATCCGGCAAATACCTCTGGAGAGACGGCTGCATGTACGAAGGCTCATGGAAACGAGGCAAAGCCTCGGGGAAAGGCAAATTCTCGTGGCCGAGCGGCGCGACCTACGAGGGAGAGTTCAAATCCGGGAGGATGGAAGGCTTCGGGACCTTCACCGGCGCCGACGGCGACACCTACCGAGGAACCTGGGCGGCGGATCGGAAACACGGCCACGGGCAAAAGCGTTACTCCAACGGAGACTTCTACGAAGGCACGTGGAGGAGAAACTTACAAGACGGGAGGGGAAGGTATGTGTGGAGAAACGGGAATCAGTACACGGGAGAGTGGCGAGGAGGTGTGATTAGTGGGAGAGGGTTGTTGGTTTGGCCTAACGGCGACCGTTACGAAGGTCTGTGGGAGAACGGTGTGCCGAGAGGGAGTGGGGTGTTTAGTTGCGTTGATGGGAGTTGTTGCGTGGGGGCGTGGGATGAGAGTGATGTTGTGAGGAGTTTCTTTGAGAGGAGTGGGTTGGTTGTTGGGGCGACGAGGAAGAGGTCGTCTGTTGATAGTGGAGGAGGTGGGGAGAAGGTTTTTCCGAGGATTTGTATTTGGGAGTCTGATGGTGAAGCTGGGGATATTACTTGCGATATTATTGATAACGTTGAGGCGTCGATGATTTATAGGGAGAGACTGTCTGTTGATCGTGTTAGGCAGTTTAAGAAGAATCCTTGTTGGTTTGACGGTGAGGTTAAGAAGGCTGGGGTGACTATTTGTAAAGGGCATAAGAAGTATGATTTGATGTTGAATTTGCAGTTGGGAATCAGGTGAATAAAAAGTTTGGAGCTTTGTGGTGGAATTATGGTTTTGTGTGTTTTAATGAAAGTTTGTGATTTTGTGATTAGGTACTCTGTTGGGAAACATGCGTCGATTGTTAGGGAGCTTAAGGTAACTGATTTTGATCCAAAGGAGAAGTTTTGGACGAGGTTTCCGCCGGAAGGGACTAAGACTACGCCGCCGCATCAGTCTGTTGATTTCAGGTGGAAGGATTATTGTCCTTTGGTGTTTAGGTATGTTTCTGGAAAGTGTTTTTGATTTTAGCAAAGTTTGGTGATGTGTCTTTTACCCGAATCATGGGTTTAGTTGATAAGGTTTGTGTGTTTCTTTTTGTGGCAATTTTGTTTGTAGACGTCTCAGGGATCATTTCCAAGTGGATCCAGCTGAGTATATGTTAGCTATATGTGGAAACGAGGCTCTTAGGGAGTTATCTTCGCCCGGAAAGAGTGGAAGCTTCTTTTACTTAACGCAAGATGATAGGTTTATGATCAAGACTGTGAAGAAATCGGAAGTCAAGGTTAGTAGAACTTAGTTGTTGCCGTCTTGTTTTTTTCTTTTTATTTTTTTGACTCGTCTCTTGTCATGCTTGTCATTCTTGATTTACTTAATTAGCGGTTGGGACACCTTTTTGTTTTTCTTTGCTTTCACATTTACTTTGTTAATCATAAACTCCACTAAGTCCGTGATTAGCTAAATGAAAATTGACCTGAAGCTTTTTGTCTTCTTTTGTTTAGGTGCTTCTGAGAATGCTTCCAAGTTACTACAAACATGTCTGTCAATATGAAAACTCCCTTGTGACTAGATTCTATGGTGTTCATTGTGTGAAACCCGTTGGTGGCCAGAAGGTAATGTGTTGTTTCCTCTAATGCTTTAATGAGTCTTTTAATTTTTTTCAGAAAATTTACAACGTAGTCTGTTTACTGTTTTATTAGACTCGGTTTATCGTCATGGGAAACTTATTCTGCTCCGAGTATAGAATCCAGAGACGGTTTGATCTCAAAGGGTCTTCCCATGGACGGAGTACAGCAAAGCCTGAAGGCGAGATTGATGAGACCACGACTCTAAAGGACCTTGATCTCAATTTTGCTTTCCGTCTTCAGAGAAACTGGTATCAAGAGCTTATGAAGTAAGCTCCATTCCTACTCAGTTTCTTTTTTTTGATTGTGCCATTCAGCAACGTAAACACGTTTCTAATGATGATGATCGGTAATACATGATCAGGCAAATAAAACGAGACTGTGAGTTCTTGGAAGCGGAGAGAATAATGGATTATAGCCTTTTAGTTGGTGTTCACTTCCGTGATAACAACACAGGAGAAAAGATGGGTCTTTCTCCATTCGTTTTGAGATCTGGTAAATATTTTAGACATCATTTCTCTATCTGTGTCCCCTAATTGATGTCAGACTCATGTCAAAAATCTTGTGCAGGTAGGATAGATTCATATCAGAATGAGAAAATCATGCGTGGTTGTCGCTTCCTAGAGGCTGAACTTCAAGACATGGACCGGATTTTAGCTGGCAGGTAACATAAACATTTATATCTTGACAATCATTTATCCGAGTTTTCCATTGTTTAATGTTAAGAAGTTGACTTGACAGAAGAGGCTTTTTGCATTCATATAGCCTCTTGATGATTACAGAGACATGTGTAGTGGTTGTGAGATTCAGTTTTCGGATTAGTATTAATGAATGTAGCAATGATAGTGAGGTGTGAAACATATCATGTGGTCCTGTCTGCTCAATATTCAATTTGTTTTCTTTTAAACAGGAAACCAACGATAAGATTAGGTGCAAACATGCCAGCAAGAGCGGAACGAATGGCCAGAAGAAGCGACTTTGATCAGTATACATCAGGAGGAGGAGGAGCTAACTATCCATCTCACGGTGAGATGTATGAAGTGGTACTCTACTTTGGTGTCATTGACATCTTGCAAGACTACGACATTACCAAAAAGATTGAGCATGCTTACAAGTCGTTACAAGCGGATCCTGCTTCAATCTCAGCCGTTGATCCTAAACTCTATTCCAAGAGGTTCAGAGATTTCATCAGTAGAATCTTCATCGAAGACGGCTAAAGAATGATGATCTTAGAAAAAGGCTAATAAAAGGGTTTTACTAACATTCTTCGGCTTCTTGAGATGGGATAATGCGCCGAGAAGGGTAAAAAAGTAATCTCAGAGAGATAAGAAGAGATTTGGAGTTTTTAATTTATTATCTTTTTGAGATAATTAGTCAAAAAAAGTTTTGGGGGTTGGGGTGGGGAAGCTTTCTCTATTTTTGTGGTGAGCGATATATTTGTATATGTGAATATAGATTGTGAAGGGTTTAGTACATAGAAATTACAATGGAAAACAAAAAAAAATGAAATTGGGTTTTGGTAAATTCAGAAAATGTGGAATAATATAAGTGTACTACAAGTCACAAAAACGAATGTTTAAATAAATAAAAAAGTTTATCCCATTAATTTAATTATCTCATCGGATGCTTCTTTAACCACCATAAAGATAAGGGATCCACATATCTTTAGTGAATACATTTTATTTTAATACAACTTTACCACTTTACATGTTTTGAATTTGATCTATGTAAACCACAGTAGTTCGAAATAGTCTAATAGGGTCAAAGAAAGGAAGAGTTGAATTGGGGTTGGTTTTATGAAAAGCAGAGAAAGATAAACTAGAACACCCACACATGTCTTTTCCTTTCATTCTTTCTCTTCTTTACGAAATCTTTTCAAAAAATTGTGTGTTCTCTCAAATCTTTCAAGTCTAATTTTCCAATCTAATCAACAATCCACATTGCATTGTCAATAATTCTCTAGATTTTTGAAGTTTCTTTTTCTAAAAAGACTAACTTAATATTGCATTTTAGTTATCTTGAAAAGTAGATTTTACATTGAAAGAAATTGTATAGGTTTTCGTACAACTCTTTCTAAGGTAAACAATTATTGTTTCTCTTAGTTTAATACATCTCATAGTCCACATAATTGCTTTCATTGGTGATAATAAACAACCTTTGTTTACAAAAGAAACTGTTGATGTGCATTAGGAAATGTTTAACTTATAGGCATGAGCCACATGAAATCCTATTCACAGATCCACTAGATGTTAAAAGCTGACATACTATCTAACAACTACAATGCCTAGATATTATTTGATTACACCAATTTGGAATTTGAAATCAGTAAACAAGATGAAATCCTACCAATAGTGGATCGAGCGAGTGAGACTTAAAGTCAAAAAGTGACAAAATAATAATAAAGTAATTATAAGTTCAAGTAATTGGTTTAAGCTCATGAACTAACATGTCATCATCTTCCCATTCTCTCTTATCTTAGTGTCCTAAGAAAGTTTAGTTCGTCCTGACAGATCATATGCACTTGTATTATTGGTCAAAAGTTTAGTTCTTAAACTAACAATAAACATTGGGATAGACTTTTAGTTTTCCTTTTTTAAAAGACTCATAAGTAGTAGAAAAAAAAAGAAAAAGACCCATAAGCTATAAACGGAGATAAGTTCTCAAGAAACTTTGGAGCTTTGCACAAATCATTGGTAATATGATTTGTTTCAACATCTAACCATTTGAAATGAGTATATTAATTGAGACACTATTTCTCCTATTTCATCTTGAGAAGAAAACGGCCAGAAGAAAAGATTAATAATCTGATTAAACTTATGTGATGACTGATGATGGATGCTTTAAAGGATTATATAGATCACACGTAAGTTTATTTAGGCAATAAAACGAAACGAGCTTGATTTCTTTCTTAGTATTTTTCTTGATTTTATTATTAAAAATATAAGTGATTGTTCTCCACTAGTTTTCCATGTTGAAGAATTATAATAGAAAAAGGCAGAGGGTTGAGAGAGTAGGCTGAGTACCACTAGGGTGTCTGTCAAATCGTTGCATGCCTAATATTCCCTTCTGTTTAAAATTTAAATATTACCAAAAATATTACAAAGATTATCAATTTTCTTAAAAAGTTAAGTTTGTTTATTCCACTTTACTGATTTGGTCAATAACATTACCAAGGATACAGTAAGATTGTCTCATCGATCTCCCTGTCTTGTTTTATTTTTATTTTATTTTTTTCCCTGTCTTGTTTTAGTCATGTGTATCTTCTTTAAATATGATTTTATATTTCTGGCTTGTGTGTGTGTTTATTAATTTTTACATATTTATAGATCTTTTATTTTATTTTATTTATAGACCTTTCATAGTGGAAAATCCCAATTCTAATATTTTAATTGACGGTTTTGGTAGTCCTAATCCCCAACAATTACTAGTTTCGAATTTCTGTTACTCTTTTTCTTGGGTCATGTGGATTTTTACTAATTTTTGAAATCCGGAATCAAAGTAATGGAGGCATGTAGTAAACAGCCAGACAATCATCAGTATCAAAAATTATGGGAAAGGTAAATAAACCCATCGTTATATATTCAATCGACTCTTGTATATATGTAATTATCTATTGATACATTACATGATACATGATTGTATGATACATTCATAGATCGATAAGTGCATTATAAATAAATACATAACAAATTAACACACGTACGTATATGCATGTATACTCGACGGCAATATACAAATAAGGTGAATTACGTTTGCATACTAAATGCAAATAAGAAGCCAAATCCAAGGTTATTGTTCCCGTCACGCCTTCGCAACTTTGGATTTGATTACACTCTCTCTTATCGATCAAAGACCAAACTAAGCTATCCTTTTTTTTTTTTAACACTGGATAATCATGCATTACAATTCTACCTGCCTTATGCGGATTCACGTCTGACTGCATCATCCTGAGCCGTCCTATGAGATCCATTCCTGACGGTACGTCTTGCGCCATGCTGAAGATCTCCTGTAAGCGTTCTCCAATCTGCATAATTCACCATTCACCTTCTTCGGGAATTGAAACCCTCCTGGTGTAAGAACTGCGTAGCCTGGGATTCGAACCCCAGACCTGGTGTAGAAGCCTTTAAACCTTAACCACTAGGCTATGGTGCTTCCACACTAAGCTATCCTTTAAATATCGTTTTTGGGGTCGTTGTAAATAAATAATGTATCGTTTATATATTGGGTTTTACTACAGTATTAAATGACCTCAGAAAAAAGATATCCGATTCGCTAACTTAAATAAATAAACATCAACAAATATGTAAGTTTTTTTTTGGTGTAACGTCGATGTACATAGCATCAGTAACACATTTCGAACCGTGAAGATCGAAAATGTGAACTGAATATGAAATTTTTGAGGATTTGTTATCGCAAAATGCATAAGTTCAAAGTCAATCCTTGGATATGATTCATAACATTATCCACCTCTCTTTGATCAGTTAATCGGTGAATAATTACATTCTTCTCCAAGGATTCTTCTATCCAATTATAAGAAACAGTATATATATGTTCTATAATTAATAGTGGTGTAAATTTATCAATCTCTTAAAAACTCGCAAAATAACATTAAATATATGGGCATGTTTTTGTATTCTTTTTATCTTTCTTTTGCATAAGATCTTCAGTTACAAAATAATGATCATAAATCGGACAATTATAACTTATATGGTCTTAACCTATTAAACTTGTTATTTAATTGATTGTGAATCTTGTGATAGCTCAAAACACTGTCGGTGAGTTGGAGATGTGGATTTCCTTAACATTGCAATATAAGAACTGAGTGTTGCAAACATATTTTACGATAAGGTGGGTTTTGATTTGGAAAAAAAAAATCTAATTAAAAAGAAAGAGTGTAGTTTTCATGGATTCAGACACATGGGGTGGAAGATTTTGACATTGAAGGCCCAAATGAAGACAAGAAGAATGGGATATTAGGGATTGGTCTCAACTTTGGGACTATGCTTGTCTGAAGTTAGAAAATACCCACCAAACGTGCCCATTATTTTATTTAACACTCCAACATAATGTTCCACCATGAAGGGGACATATTCCCTTAGCTTTCCCTTTCTCATTATTCTTGTAGGTTTATTCTCTTGTTTGGTACAACTAATTGAAAAATAAGTATAATTTGTAGAAAATTTTATACGAAAAAGATTCACAAAATAAGCAAGAATTGCAGAGGCATCATCCTAATACTAATGATGTTGTCTTTCACTCTCCCAAGAGAACCTCGTGACTCATGAGACTAATTATATCTACATGTAATGCTGCTCTTTGGTCTTGTTCCTAAGCAGAACACAAAAGTCTGATTTATTGCAGTGAATTATAGATAAACTTGGTCTTATTCGGTTTATTGAGTACAATAGATTCAAGATTTTTGACGATTTGCTATGAGTTTTTTTTTTCACTCTATATTGAAAATGAAACACAATTTAATCTCGTTCGACCTTTGGTAATTTTAAAACACTACCTATAACACAAAACCAAATACTAAAGAGAAAACAAATTTAGAAGATAGTTTTAAAGTAGTTTTTGGTTTCTGATTGTTCAAAAACTGTTTTCATCCAATCAGGATTTCATTAAATAGATTTCCTATTTCTTAGGGAAACTTGTTTTTCTGTTCTACTATATTGTACCTAAAAGCTAGAAACCAAGTTTAGTGGTTTTCTCCAACGACATGAAGTTTTTTTTTTTTTTTTTTTTTTTGCAAAACATTATTATCTTGATGAAAAAGCATCTACTAAATAACAGTCACATTTATTCCACAAAAACACATAAATAAAAATCTTACAAATAATTATCTTCTCTATTAAAATAATTTACTGAAGTTTTCTTATGGAAGTTAATTATATAATGTTTAAAAATTTTGCATGAATTTAAATAAATTGTTAGATATATTAATTTATTATATTTACTACATTGTAATTTAATGTTTATTTAAAACTCCAGCTATTAACATTTATGATAAAATAAATTAATTACATAATTTTATGCATTTTTCCATTTAAAAATTATTTATAAGTCCAGCTATTGATATTACTATATTTTGAAAATATAAATAATTTTTACAAGTTTAGTATTAGTGTGTATTTTCCTATAAATATATATTAAAATGCAGCTGTTAGTTTTATATTTTTTTCTTTTAAATATAAAATGTTATTTTAGTTTATTTATT